GTCATCACTGGTCAGATTTGGCAGGGGTCCAGTGAAAACTACGGTGTCCGACATTGTTTTTGCATATGTACACACCGACTCAACATTAATCTTAGTGACCTCCGATTGGCGTAACCGGGAGTCATTACCGCCGATGTGAATAACAATCTTACTGTATTTACGTTTATCCTTAGCCAGCAGTTTCAAATAAGACTCAATGTCGCCCGCTCTGGCCCCAGGGATGCACTTAACTATGGCCGCTGGCTTCGCTAACTTCACGTTTCTCAAAATGGAGCTGCCAATGATCAGAGTTGGTTTCTCAGCGGGTATGTCGCTGAGTGGGGAAAATCTGTTAGAGACGTGAACAGGTTGATGGTGCCCCGTGGACTTTGAATGCTTACGACTATTCCTCCTTCGGACAGTCACCCAGCCCCCCCCCCTTTCCTGGCTGCACAGGAGATGCCAGGGGACGGCTACCAGAGGCTAACTCAGACCGGCCCGCACCGACTACCAGGGACTGGCTAGCTACAGTAGCTAAAGACTGATCTACCAAGGTGTGGAGCCGGACTTCTAAATCACTGAGCCTCGCCTCCATGTCTAAAAATAAACTACACTTATTACACGTACCATTACCGCTAAAGGAGGCAGAGGAGTAACTGAACATCTGACACACCGAACAGGAGAAAGTAGGAGAAAGAGAGGTAGAAGGAGAAGCCATCGCTAGCTGCTGAGCTAAAGTACTGTAGCGTCAGCTACCAAAACTTTAGAACAACTATGAGATTGAACAGCAGTCACTGAAAAATGGAAAGAACTGTGAGTGCTTTGGCAAAATTACTGTAAGAATTACTGTTTAGCGGACAGTTGGCTGCTGTAATCTAACAAATGTAACTGTTATTTAGCGAGAGCAGCACAACACGGTACCAACACACAAGCACCGGAAACGGAAATGAGTCGACACGCTTACCGCAGTATGTCAGCAACAGCCAGACCAGAGTCAAGTCAACTCTTTAGTTGTTTAGAGTTAAAACATCTCAGATATAATCAGGAGCCAGGCCATGAGTAGCCTTAAAAGTAATGAGTAAAATCTTAAAATCAATCGTAAAACAAACAAATTGTTTATGGACAAATGTAGATTGATATTTACCTCCTCTCTATTCTGTAGGGCAAGAACCTGCAGGACTTAAAAATCAGTCAAAAACATAAAATAAAAAGTGTGCAATGTGTTTCAGTCAAGTTAACGTGATAAAGTGGCAAAGAGCTGTCCCGTTCCTGTTTACAGCGTTTTGAGCCCTTGCAGCCTCTTGCACTCAATCACTTTCCAAGTGACGTCAGTACTTGACGTCTGTGAGGGTTCAGGGCTTAGGGTTTAGGGGGGACCTTGGGATTGGGCCTACTTTTGACAGAAGCCGCGTCAAGTTGCACAGAGCAGATGGAACTGGGCAGGAAGTCAGATACAAAAGGGAGAGAGTATCAGATCAATTTTCTAAAAAAAACACCCTGTACATACTTCCGCTAAAACAGACAAAACAGAACCATTTGTCTAATGCCGTTTTTCCATTACCAGCTCAACTTGCCTCGGCCGTCTCGGTTTTCCATTGCAGATAGTACACAGAGATTGTACCCCTGAATGTAGCTGGTGGTCATAGCGATGCCTCACACAAGTGCCATGACGTAATGTTCAATGCGACACACACAGCTGTCTCTTGATTTAAGGTAAAACGTTTCCTCAGAATGTAAAGACAGATAAGCGGTATGAAAAGCTTCCAGCTGTGTTTTCCTCTGCCGTTGTTGCTGCAGCGGTCCGTGTGACGGTGGGAGCAGAGGGCTCTGTGAGCGGGCGGCTGGCCGGCCGCACCAGATTCTCTCTGACCAATCAGTAGTCTCCCGTGTTTTCACGTCACATTTTAGTATCGCCTCAGCTTGCTTGGAACCTCGGCCAACACAGTCTCACTCCCTACTCGTCAAATGTCTGACGCATGGTCAAGGCCCTTTGTCGTCGCTTTTTAAAGGCTTGGGTAGCCCTTTTGCATCAATTATTGACGTTTAGGGATCCACAGTCAAGTTAGCAACGCTTAGCAACAATAAATGTGCAATATCCGGTTACACTTTCAAGATAAAACGTAACGTTTCGATACATTGCCATGTTGAAACACGCATAATTAAAGTCGTGAAACGTTGCAGTTTCGTTAGGTTTAGGCACAGAAAGTACTTGGTTGGGTTTAGGCAACAAAACTACTTGGTTAAGGTTAGGAAAAGATCATGGTTTGGGTTAAAATAGCTATGTATGTCAATTAAGACTTAAGTTAACTAACGTTAATGTCAATTTACCTCACTAAAAACATTTATGTTTTGTTTCGCACGGGACACAAACCCTGTTCTCCTGCTTCAAGGTCCGGGTTCTGGCCCTCTATCCACCCCAATCACCTCCTTACTTCGTCTTTTCTCTTAAATATCATACTTGCCTTTACCATCAAAAACTTACACAACAGGGCTTCCCTCAATACGTCGAACTATGACGTCAAAGGGATCCCTAGTGCGTCACAAACTGACGATTATGGCTCTTGACCAAGCGTCCATATGTGACGACTTGGGAGTGAGACCGGGTTGCCTCGGCAGAGGTGATACAAAAAAGTACCTGGAAGCAGGTACAACTTTTCCACAATGGAAACCCAAAAAAAGGCGAGTACAGTCGAGACAAGTCGAGCTGGTACTGTGCAGTACAAAAGGGGCTTTAGTAGCCATAGGTATCATTTACACTGGGGATGCTGGGGACATGTCCCCATCACATTTTGAAAATGTATTGAAAAATAGCTTGCACCAAGACATGTTCACTAATAGATTAAAATACTTTGAGAAAGTTTTATTTGCACAATAAGAAACATGCAAAGCCATTTATGTTTGAATTGTCCATAAAGGTAACAGGCTGCTCCAGAATGCAGGGGATTAAGTGGTTAAGGCTCAAAATCATAATCCCTGTGATCTATAGCAAATCAAAGGCTCTCTTTAAACCTTTATTTTTTATATTTAATTATTTTAATTATGACAGTTAAAATGAGAGAACCAGGATAGTTCACAGTTTCTATTCCCGTGGAGCCCCTGACTGGTGAGGGGCCAACTTAAGTAACATCTTAAGTTCCCTTCCACCCTGCTGGCTCTGGTCCATCTAGAAAGGATCCTGGAGCCTCAGAGACAGCTGAGACCTGGACTGTTCTAAAGGGTCTTCAGTGAAACCAAGTCCGTCTCAGTGTTGGAAGATGTCTGTATTTGAGCCCTGAACTCTTCATCCATGCACTTAACTTCAGAGTATTAACAGTTAAACCAGAAACCTGAGCCAAGTGGATCCAGGCTGTCAGACCAGTTCAGACACACCCTGCATGTTTCACTGATGATGTGAGCTCAGACTACAATCAGACTGCTGCTGATTCTACTTGAGAAACATGAACAATATTACAGGGAAATCTTTCTGAAATCATTGTTCTTTAACTCGGAGAGAAATTCTACAGCAGATTTCAAAGAGATATTTAGAAACAGCCAATCAGCATCAAGAAGCATTTCTACTGTCCAGTTAAACAGTGATCCAGCACAATGTGATCAAAGTGATCCTGATTATCAGACATTTACAGATTCCTCTGGTCGGATTCTCACCTGCTGAACTCACTTCAGGTCGACTTACAGACACTTTGCACCTTCATGTGTGGAGGAAACACTGGGAGAGAAGAAGCTGCTCATTTCTTCCTCGTCAGTCCTGGTGTCTGTGTGCATCTGATCTGAGGACGCCGTCACAGCCTCATAACTTCAGAGTCTAAAAAACATCAGAATGACGTCAAAACCGGTCAAACCTGTGGCAGAAACCCAGTGAATGTTAGAGGAATCACACATCTAATGATGTAGTTCTGCTACCTGTCCTCCACTAGATGCTGCTAACTAACCATCTGATGAACTAAATCAGATCAGGGCCGGTATTCATCAAGCTTCTCTTCTTCTTCTTCTTCTTTTAGTCTTAAATGCTGAGAATTCATGAAATTTACTCCTACTTTTAAACTTAATAAAAGCCAGTTATCAAATTTCTTAAAGCTAAGAATCACTGACTCTCCCAGTTATTTAAGAAGCTCCAGAGGTCTCTCAAGTGGTTAGGAGCTGCCAGTAGGGCTTGAGATGGCGCTGTGGAGACAGAGACATGCATGAATATTTCAGGAGAGAAAGAATTTCTGGATTATTTGACGACATGCAGTTAATAAGATGCGGTCGGACAGCGCAGGCATAAACTTTGTCAGCGAGTTGGTGAGGGACGTCACCTTACCACAGACTTTACGCAGTAATGCATTTTCACTTAAATTGAAGGTGGTGATGACGCTTTGTTTCTTTGCCACAGGACATGCGCAGCAATGCTGATGATTTTGGCCCGTCACCACCATCAATAAGCCGAATAGTCAGGGAAACAATTCTGGCAATCATTGTCACGCGTTTCATCGACTTCCCAACAACACCCCCCGTAATCCGACAGAAGCAGACAGTTCATGCAAAGAGCCAGCCTCACAGGAGCAGTAGAAAGATAAACTTTTTTATCTTTCATTTATTAATGTGTGGGCCTATATCATAATGTATTCTCTTAAAAATTCTTTATTGTTAAGTGTTGAATATAAACTCCTCTTTAGAATTTCACCATTCAATGTGAATTTATCTGAGAAGATTCTTAAATAAGGAAATTATTCAGTGATTGGTCCTTGGCTACATCGTCATCCAAAATCCTGTTCGCAGCACAGCAAAGTGTCGTAAATCACAAAGACTGACACTTAAGATTTAGTCCTGCACTTCACTCAAAGTAGGACGATGATGCTTGATAACTAACTTTTAATCACAGCTTTGAGCCAAGATTTTTTTTAGTCTTAAGTCAGTTCTTAGCAGTGATCTTATGAGTAATTCTGAGAAGCTTGATAAATACGTCCAGATACGGGCCCAACTCAGCACTAAAAGACGTGTCACGCTTCAGATAAGACCCAGGAATAGACTGGAGACAAGAGCTGGTTCTCAGAGATTTATTGAGTCAAGGAGCTGGCGGTGGCTGCGGGGATCGGGGCAGGCAGAGCAGGCAGGCGAAGGAAGCTGATGGGGTCCAGGCAGAGAGGCAAACAGGTAACAGGCGGGAGAGTGAGAACCAGGACGCGGGGAAGGTGAGTTGGTCACGGACGGGTCCGGTAGAGATCCTGAGTACAGGAAAAACAGGTTAGTTGCCAGCTTAACAAACAGAGTACAGGTATGGTTCCTAACCAAACGAGCTGGTAGCCAAGACGTACAGAGACGACTTAACAATCCGGCGAGGACAGGACGTCAGGCCGCTGCTTAAGTAGGGCAGGAACCCGAGGGAGTGCAAATCACGTGCAGGTGTGTAATCAGCTCCTCGCAGCTGACACGCCTCCCGGCAACCTGCAGGTGAGAGAGAAAGGGGAAAAGGGCCGGAAACCAAAAACCGCAGCCACACCCAGGGAAAAAAAACACAAACAAACGAACACAAGGCAGTCTTCCACAAGTCAGGGTTAGGTCGCAGCAGGGGGGGCGTGACAAGACGTCATGAAGCAGCAGTGTGGATCACATTGGTACACTGCCATATTTTGGACATGTTGGTTTGTAATGAGGCAGAATGCAGCCTGAGATCCCCGGGCGGGGCCCTTCACTCTGTTCCTCAGTCCTGGTTCCTAACAAAGGGGGACCAGAAGCTCCAGAACCTCAGGCTGCCGCAGATGGTGTCTGCTATTAAAGCTCTTCTTCAAACAGACTTTGGCTTCCAAACATTTTTCTTTAAAGGCCTTTTTACTCGTTTGCACCTGTAACAACTTTTAACTTTGTTTTAAAAGCTGTTAAACACAAAGTTTGTAATTATTGTCACTTCTAATAGAGCTACTACTAGAAATACTGCTTCTGTGATACAAGTACAATATCTACTGCTGGGACTGAAAACTGCTGAGAGGTCAGAGGTCAGGGTCCGGCTGTAGTTTAGCTGATGTGTTTGCTTCTGTGAGGACAGGATTTGTGATACTGTTAAGAGCATTTGTGTCAGCCTACCTGAGCAACAAAAGTTTGCTCTTGTGATGTGTAATTCACATCACAGCCACTAGGGGAAAGTAGTCAAACTTAGAGGTCCCATATTAAGCTCATTTTCAGGTTCATACTTTAATTTTGAGTTTCTACTAGAAAATGTTTGTGTGGTGTATAATATATGTGCATTTGACTCAACACATCAGCGCAGCATTATTGTTCAGACACCACACATGCTTTAATGTTCAAAAACACATTATTTTTCTCATGATATCCATTGCTTTAACACCTCTATTCAATGTCATTCAACAAATTATTTCAGCTGTACTGTTACGATGGGTGGCTGAGTGGAGCAGGTTGGAGGACCCAGACCGCAAGGCAGAGGAGGTGCAGCGAACCGAGGTGATTTATTAGAACAAAGACAAGGCGAGCACACTTACTGATTGAGTGGCTGATACAGAGTCCAAAACGAGGATAGAGACATAAACTAAGGACAAGGAACGAGAGAAACAGGCAAATAGACGAAACAAATGGCAAAAACTCAACCTCACAAGGAAGAAACTACAACTCATAACATGTACTTGTATAAACTGCTGGAGTTTAATTTATAACTAAACATCATATTTTATAAACTCTTCATGTGCAACAATCTGACTTTGTAAAGTAACTGAAGCTGTCAGATAAATGTAGTGAAGTAAAAATAAAAAAGAAACTCAACTCAACATATTTGTACAACTACAAATATGTATTAAGGACAGTTCTTAGGCAAATGTACTTATTTAATGTTCACCACTGCATATAATAACAAACAAATGACAAAGGTTTCTTTGTTTGTTTGATAAACTGAAGCAGTAAAAGGAAAATGGATCTTGAAACAGTTAATCTCACCTCCAACACACTTCATACATGTCTCAAAATAAAGTTGTTGGACCAAACACAACAACTCTCAGTCAGAAAGCAAACACTGTCACTGATAACACACCGAGCTATCAATCAGTATTTTATTACAGAAGAACAGATTTTCACATTATGGACTGCGTGTGTTTCAGTAGTCGTCTAGTCCCGAGTGAAGGTGTACAGGTTGAGACGCCAACGGTCTCCGGGGTGGATGGCAAGGCAGGTGCACAGGGAAAGACGCCATTCACTCTGCCCAGGTACGATCCATCCCCGTCAATTAGTACTGGCTCCAGAGAGGAGGCACTACTAAAAGTCCGTCTCGCTTGTCTTCAGCTGGATGCTCAGGAAAAAGAGCGTGAGAGGCAATCTCAATTCCAGCTTCAGCTGGAGGGGAGGAAGCTGGAAAATGAGGCTGACAAGGCAGTGAGGCTGCGGAAACTTGAAATCGAGGTTCCCGAAATGGGACGGGGGCGGAGCGCTCACGATGACTCAGGTATGACTTCCTCTTCCACCACTTCTACCAGTTCAGTAAAAGTAGCATTTGATATTAGTAAGCATGTGTCCTTGGTACTGTTGTTCCGTGAAAGTGAAGTTAATTCGTATTTCAGTGTGTTTGAACGTATTGCTGCTGCATTACAGTGGCCGCCTTAATTCTCTAAGGGAGTTGATGGTGTTCAAAAAGTGTTTACCCGATCGCATTGTGGTATATTTAAATGAACAGAAGGTGAACACACTGTCTGCTGCTGCTTTGTTAGCAGATGAGTACGTGTTAACACACAAGATTGCCTTCGGTCCAGATTTTTCTGAAGAGTCACGACATTCTCCAGCCTTTTCACCTCGTTCACCCAAAGCGCGTAGCACAAGGAAAGAGGACAGGGAGTGTTTCTACTGTCACCAAACCGGCCATGTAATTGCTAATTGTCTTGTACTTAAACGTAAAGAGCAAATTCCACGCTCTTCTAAACCTAAAGGGGTTGATTAGAGCAGAGTCAGGTTTAGACACTGAGCAGCCTGAACAGGAAGTTGTTGACGTTTGTTTCAAGCCATTTGTTTTTGATGCCCATGTGTCTTTGACGGGTGCATCAGCTGATAAATGTGCCATACGAGTTCTGAGAGACACCGCATGTTCACAGTCAGTAATCCTCAGGTCAGCACTGCCCTTTTCTGAACAGTTCTCACGTGGCTACTGTTCTGTTTTACGAGGTATTGAAATGGGTTACATTCCACGGCCAGTACATCACGTTCACATTCAATCTAAGTTAGTCACTGGATTTTTCCCAGTTGCAGTTTGCTTAGAGTTGCCGATTACAGGTATTGTGCTCCTGATGGGGAATGATATAGCGGGAGGTAAAGTAACTCCAGCCCTGGAGGTGTTAGATCAACCCTAGTGGGATGAGACACACTCTACAGAACACACATCCTCGAACATATTTCCCTCTTGTGCCCTTACTCGTGCGGGTGCACGTGAAAACCGAAGAGAGGGCGATGAATTTTCGTTATCTGACAGCTTACTTATGTCAGCCTTTTCAGATTCACCAGGGTTGGAGACTGAGGCGGAGTGCACAGTTATTCCTGCTCAGGATGCGGCTGCAGAGGGAACGCTCCTGGCTGAGCAGGATATACCGACAGTCTGTGTGGTGGCACTTCTAGTCAGTCGAGATGGTCTGAGCGTGATGCAAAAAGCAGACCCAACATTGAAGAAGTGCTTCTCCATGGTGGTGAGTGACAACTCAGCAAGTGGTACAAAAGTAGCATACATCCTTAGAGGGGATATTTTAATGCGAAAATGGTCATTAATAGCTGATGATTCGGATTGTGATGCTGTTTATTAGTTAGTGGTACTCTCTGGCTACCGACGGCAGGTGTTGTCGGTAGCCCACGATAGACGGTGGGCGGGACATTTAGGGGTGACAAAAACATATCAGGCCATCCTCAGACATTTCTAAAAATCGGAGGTTGCTAAACATTGTAGGTGTTGTCATGTTTTCCAGGTTGTAGGGAAGCCTAACCAAACTGTTCCTCCTGCACTATTGCACCCTATTCCTGTGATAGGAGAGCCATTTGAGCGAGTGCTCATTGATTGTGTTGGTCCCTTACCCCGCACTAAAAGTGGAAACCAGTTTCACCATGCCATCTCTTCCACCTATCACCCAGAGTCACAGGGCGCATTGTAACGCTGGCACCAGACCTTAAAGTCGATGCTCAGGAAATACTGTGTAGAATCTGAAAAACAGTGGGATGAGAGGTCAGAGTCAGCGGACACATCTGATGATTTAAAGACGCGCATACCAGGGTGCTTGGCTCCCCAAATCTGAGGCATTAGCAGGTCTGCCATCTCAGTTACAACACCTGACTGCTGAGCAGCAGCAGGATGTGGTGAGTCTGGTAAGTCAGTATACCTGTCTTTTTAGCGATGTCCCGACTTGTACAAATGTTCTGCGGCATGACATGGAGGTGAAAGAGACTCGGCCCATTAAGCTGATTAATCAGACGAAGGGTGAAATGATGAAAAAGGAGGCAGACCACCTCCTGCAGAATGGATTAGCTAAAGTTAGCGCCAGCCCCTGGAGCTCCTCGTGCCTGCTGGTGGCTAAATCTGATGGTTCCCCTAGGTTCATATCTGATTTTCGCAAGGTACTGTTCGAGATTCCTACCTTTTGCCTAGAATGGAGGATTGTGTGGATAACTTGGGGCAGCCAAGTTTGTAAGCAAGGTAGATCTGTTGAAGGGATACTGGCAGGTACCTTTAATGGGCCGTGTCTCTAAAATAGCTGCATTTGTCACACCAGATCACTTCCTCCAGTACACTGTAATGGCCTTCGGACTGTGCAATGCGCTGGCTACCTTCCAGAGGTTAGTAGACACTGTGTTATCGGGGTTGCACAACTGTAATGCGTATTTGGATGATATGATCATCCATGCAGCAACACGGGATGAGCACATGAGTGTACTGGAGCAGGTTTTTGATCGTTTGGCCCAAGCAAAACACTAAATTTAGCAAAGTGTGATTTTGGCAAGGCCACAGTTACTTACCTCGGCCGACAAGTGGTGCAGGGTCAAGTCCGTCCTGTAGACACTAAGGCTGAAGCCATAGCTGGCTGGTCCGTTCCAACCACCCGTAAAGACTGCATCTAGCTGTCACGTTTTTGGGTTGGTTGGGTGTGTTTTGTAGTTGTTTCTGTGTTTTTTTTAGTCAGGTTTACTTGTTATGAGGTCATCAGTGTTTCTAGTCCTGTTCTACCATCTGTATGTTCTGTAGGTTTTTGTTAGTTAGTACTTTTGATGTCTGTGTTATGTTTCATTTTGTGACATAGTTCCTTGTGTGTTTCAGTTAGCTTTACTTCCTGTTTTAGTTTGTAGTTAGTTTGCCTAGTGTCTCTTGTCTTGTTTTACCTCCTGCCTGTCCTTTATGGTCTTAGTGGTTTCACCTCTGTGTAATTAGTTTCTCACTCACCTGAGTATTTAAGTGGTTGTCTGTCTTTCACTCGGTGCCAGTTCATTGCGGATGTATTTTGATGTTGCCTTGGATGTTGCTGTGGATTTTCCTGTGGTGTTTCTCGTGCCCCTGTGGACTTTGGACTTTCATGCTTTGTGTTTTTGGACTGCTCACACTTAACTAGGGCTGTACATATCGATTATTTTTCAAATTGATTAATCTAACGATTATTTTTTTGATTAGTCGATTAATCTAACGACTAAATTTGTTTATTCTAAAGAAAGAAAAGTTGCCTATTACTCGATTAACATACAAATTTATCCAAAATAAATATCAAAAACATGTCTTATCAGTAAATCTATATTTTATTCAATCATCCTGATGAAGCACATTAGAATAATGACAATAGTAGCAAATCTAATATTAAAATGAATAAAATTTCCACGTCACTGATGTGTTGTGATAATAACAATAACAGACATCAATTAGGCTACTTTACTTAAAACTTTAAATGTTTAAATGTAATTTCAATATTGTGTAATGCAGTATGATAATAAAATGAATTTCTGCGTCAGTGAACGCCTGAAAGGACTCACAGACTGTACAGTCACAGATTGTCTTTAATGTTAGATTCAGCTGTTTTCTCGCTCATATGTGGCCGTTAAATAAACAGAAAATATGAAACAGCCAATCATTAGATGACACGCGGTGTAACGTTAGGTTACCATGACAGCAGCGTGGCAGAAACCAGAAGCCAGGAGGCTGAATGTAACACTGGCTGGGCTCGATGATTGGCGCGGCCGGTGCTGGATTCCTCCAATTGAGTGACGGCAATTGACAGCGACTGCAGCTAAATAGTGGGCCTTTCTCAATCTGTGTTCTTCTCTGTACTTGTGTTCTTGTGTTCTTGTGAAACGTCATCTTTTGTGGCCAAAGAACTGTCCCAATACAAGTAACAATAAGTTTTGCATTTTGGCAAGAACGGTTAAAAAACCCGGAAGTGTTCTTTTTACCGAGGATGCATCAGTTGGTAACTTTTGTGAACTTGACGGCAGAGATATCCCAGAATTCATTTCATGGATGGGAGTGAGTAATGTTATGCTTTGCTGTGTTTGTACTATAGACTGCTGTATAAAAAAGGTTTTAACGCTGGGGGTAATTGGTCGATTGGTGCGTTTGGTTGTGTCAAATTTGCCAGCCTCTCAGAAGAGTTTTATGCACCAAAATGAAAGAAAACAAATAAATACTATGAAGCCAAGAAAGCAAATATAAAACTAAAAATCAAAGTTGTGTAAGTTACTTTTTAGTGCAAAATACTAGTGACAGACAAAATAAATATTACAGGTGACATTTATGATTTGGTTATGATATGAATGCAGAAAGTTATATGGAGGCAGTATTGCACTTAAGTGTATGACAGTACATGCATGCAGGGAGTAGAGGAGTGACAGTAATACATATGATAAATATTGTTAGTAGTAATATTAGTAATGGTTTAAGTTGTCCTCTCTTCTTTTTGCTTTCTTTCAGAGTCTTTGTGAACAAGTCTGACCTGGCTATCACACCCAAACAAGCTATGAAGAAATGGAATAAACTCAAGGAAAAATACAAGGTAACTCTACATATCTCTTTCAGTAATGTAGTGGGACTAATTTAAACAAGATTTACCAAGTAAATGTGCAATTATTTTGACTAGTGGACACGTACACGTATTATACAGATGCAAAGAGCAAGGACATACATTATCAAACACTATTTGGAAATTGTAAACTAAACAACATATCCCAACTTTATTTTTTTTTCTGTGGAAAATTAATATTCTATGTTTGGCATCAGTATTTAAACTTCCATCATTATTGCATGATATCTTAAAATAACTGTTGTATAACTTGACATGAAGGGAATTTACACAGGATAGCGTTGCAGCAAACATTTATGAAGCCATTCAAACTGTAGAAACGTTTCAGGACTACAAATATATTCGATAATCGTTTTCACCTTTTTTATTTATACATTCTTTTTTGCCTTCTTTTTGACATTATTTGGAGACAGCCATCAAATTTGGCATGTTTCTTTTCAACTAAAATAGTTGGTGAATAATAGGTGTTTTTTCCTGTTGACATTGTCATTCTGTTTGGGGTGCTTACAAAAACAGTCAATAAGTATATATCCAATATTTTCTTATTATTCATCAACTAAACAATATTGCTAACAATTTTACGTAGCAGTTTAACTTATGTAATGATACAAATATATTAATATTATAAAACTAACATTTTCATGTACATTTCATTTTCATTTAATCACTATTTATTTGACAGTACACACTTCAAATAATTGCAACAGAGTTTGCATCTGTTGTCCCTGGGCATTCACTCAGGTTTATCCCCTCAATCGTAGTCATGCTCCCTCAGACATGCGGGCAGCTCTCCGGGGGCAGACACCTGTGCAGCAAGTCTGGCACGGAGATTATTTCCTGAGAACAGAAGCAGAATGAAAGGAGACAGGCGTTGCTTTATTGTTATGATTATACATTACATTGTAGTATACAGTTGTAGAGTAATCCGTTGAGCTGAGGGTAGGCTTGGGCGATAAAGCCTCACTGTTATCGTCAAAGTCTTAATATGTTCGGGCAGTGCGGGGGGTATTGCGCAATACCAGTAAGAACACATTATCGGGTGATGGTGACATTCTATGGCCTTTTTCTTGTATCCGCTGGTTGGGTCTCGTCTCAGTGTCTCATATGTGTTTGTGTCCATTAGTAGTGTGTTGATTTTGTTCTGGTAGTCCGCTGTGTTAACGACTACGGTGCATCTTCCTTTGTCAGCAGGTAGGATAGTGATGTTTTGATCCTTGCTCAGAGATGTCACAGCCTTCCTTTCTTGGATGGTGAGGTTGGAAGGGGGGGCCTTCGCATTAGAAAGGGCTGCAGATACCTTTAGTCTGAGCTGTTCCGCTTCTGTTTCTGTTAATTTGTTTTTCCTAACTTTTTTTTCTGTTTCTGTGGCTGTGATGAGGTCTACTATAGGTAGTTGCTGTGGTATAATAGCGAAGTTTAATCCTTTGGCCAGAACGTCTTTCTCTGGTTGGGTGAGTTCCCTATTTGACAAGTTTTTCACCCATCTGTTGTCTGTCAAGTGTTGTGGGGTTGTTGTCCTTTCTCCTCCAAGACAATTCTCCTGTTCTGTTGGTGCTGCTCGCTCTGGACTGTAGGTATTGGAATTTCTGGGTCTGTCTTTCTTTGCTCTTGTTGTGCTGAGATAGCTGTGCTTTCTTGATGAAGTCCATGACCTTTCCCAGTGCTGTACTGGGCAGATATGTTTCTAGTTTGTGGTGTATGTTGTCCATTTCTTTGTTCAGGGGCTAACTCTCTCATTCAGTAGCGGGTGTTGCGCTTTCTCCAGGATTATTCCGGCTCTGTGTCCTTTTACCGTGGAGCCTAAGTGTAGGCTGTTGGTAATAAGTTTGTGTTGTCGGCATCTCAGGTTAAATCATAGATGGTTCCTGTAGTCTGCAATTTTCCTGGCTGTCCTTTCATACTCCCGTACCAATCTGAGGGTGTTCATCCCAAAATGATTAGCAAGATGTCTATGAAGATTCTCAGTCATCCAGGTCATAGTTATCCACCGAAGGTTAAAATGAAGGGCAACTGGACTAAGTTGAAGATACTGGAAGACGTTTTGTCCCTCACCCAAAGGACTTCTTCAGTTCTGACTGACTGGCAGGGAAACTCAGCTATTTAACCTCAGTGGGGTCGTTGGCCCGGGTCATCGATACCGCTGGTTCGTTAGTGTTCCTTGTTGCTGTGACGACAGTCGTTACAGTCGTTGAGACTACCTGTGGCCAAGACTGAACGACCATCGTTGGTATCTTCACCTGAGGCCAATAGGTTACGTTTGTTGAGTTTCCTGGGAAGTGATGAAAGGACAGCATTGTAAGTGGGGGATAAGTGGTGGCGTAGACCCCCTCCCCTGTTCAATGACGGCTTCTCCACCCTGGTGTAGATGCTTCCTTGACACCTCTTTCAAACCATCCATCTTCTCTGTCTAAAATGTACACCTGGTGGTCCTCAAACGAGTGTCCTCTGTCCTTCAGATGTAAGTAGACTGCAGAGTCTTGACCTGAGGAGTTGGCCCTTCTGTGTTGAGCCATGCGTTTGTGTCGTGGTTGTTTAGTCTCCCCAATATACAGGTCTGTGCATTCCTCACTGCATTGGACCGCATACACTAGATTGCTTTTCTTGTTTTTGGGTGAGCGGTCTTTGGGGTGGACCAGCATCTGTCTTAGTGTGTGAAGATATTGTGAAACACGAATGTGATATTATTGAGATAATTGATGTAAACCTGTATATGAAAATGGGGCCCAGGTTTAGCTCCAAACTGATGACGCTACATCTGTGTAGTTGTTTTTTGTTAGTTTCAATAGGTCTAAGGGTGCTGCTCTCGTTGTGTTTGGGTTTTTTTTCTTTTTGGTTATATTGTTTTCGTTGGTTTAAGCATCATCCAATCAGCTCTTTTTCTGTTACAGTTCACTGCGTGTCACCTCTACCCCACAAATAACTTTTCCTTACCAAATCAATCTGGTTTATGTTATCTTCTTAAGACTATGACGAAAAATATTCGTCAACGAACCTTTTTCATGGACGAAAACTAAATAAAAACTAAATAAAAAGTCAGATATGATGACTGTGACGAAATATAAGTGACACTTTAGTCAACGAATAAAAATTTGACAAAAATATTAGGGAGGGACGAATGGAGAAGAGATTCAATCATCACTACTCTTTTTGTGGGACAAGTTTGGAAGAAATCCAATCAGAGCGAATCTTTGAGGGTTGATCTAGAAGCCGCGGCAAATGCAGGCGCAACAGCTAAAGAAACGCAGCAGCAGTTACGCAGGAGGAGAAGAAAGACGAGTTTGCAGAACTTTGCACAGTTTCGAGGACGTTTTCACAACAGTTAGGTTGTTTACATTATATGCCATTGTGTTTAGTTGCACAGTCTTAGTTACACAGCTTTGGCTGACTTTGTTAGCAGCACGCTAACATTTTGGAGTGCACCCGGTCCGAGGGCAATGACATGTCTCATGAACTACAGAAATGTCAGAGCTAGGTCTTGGACGAAAGCGAAGAATTGACATCTAGTCACACTTCACATGTGACCACAAGGACAACAAGACCGCCTGTAAACCGTGTGGAGCAAAGACACCACCAACTTGAAGCGACATTTACAGACGACTCATCCGGAAATAAATGTGAAAGTAAGCATACATGCTAAGCTATTTTATCAGATAAAGCACAGTGTTACCGCTAAACTTGGAATAAAATAGAAGCTAAAGGAAACCACCTTGAGCTATATTGATTAGACGATTGTCTCACTGAATTAATATGAGCATAAATATTAAATGTCCTCAAATTGAATCAAATGTGTAAAATGTGTATTATAGTAACGTTAGATGTTGTGGCGTTATATGACTGAACGAAGGGTGTGTGAGTGAGAGACAGAGAGAGAGGGAGAGATCTGAGGAGATTGGGCAAAAAAAACCCCACAACTTGATTTCCCCTTTATTCACCCTCACAGATACAGAAGACATCTGATGACAAAGATGACCGAATGCCAAGTGGAAATAAAGCTAGTGCTGCTAGTGCAACCCAGCAGCAGGCCATCTCTACAGCTTTCCTAAGTTCTTCAAAGTACAAAACTGAATGGAAGGAACAACAGACCAAGGAGCAGGCCATAGCTAGATGGATTGGAAGCACAGGTTTAACTCACAACAATTGAAGACGAGGACTTTGTGCTAATGATGGAATAGTAGATAGGAGACTAACAGTTCCAAAGAAAACTAAAATGAGCTATTTGATTGAAACACAGTATGAACATGAAAGACAAAAATTCAAAGATAGACTGGCTGCTGCCAGAAGAGTTTCCATTGGCCTCGACTTGTGGACAAAAAAAGGACTGACAGCCTCCTTCCTTGCTATAAGCGCATGCTACTTTTGTGTTGAACAAAGTAAACCTGTACACATATTGTTGGCCCTTGAACAAGTAGCTCACCCACACACTGCACAGTCTATTAAGGCATGTGTGGACAAATGTATGCAAGAGTGGGGCATTCTAAAGGAGAAGATCCTGACGGTAAGAACGGACAATGGGAGTAACATGGTGGCAGCCTTTAAAAACACCACAGCAGAAGAAACCAGCTCTGAGGATGACTCCCCTGGGTCCACGATGGAAAGTGACTCTGAAATAGATGACCAGAGGTGAGCCATGTTTAGTTTATTCTTTTACATCACAGTCAATTATCACATGAATGGTTTTCCCCCTGCCACACGTATGTACAGACACACACCAGCCAATTTATTAGGTTTAGACTTCTATGGTTGTCTTTTCTTCTTGTTAGTAGGTACCATCATGTCGACATGGAAATGGCCCGAACACCGTGCGTGGTGCATACCGTACAACTTGTGGTCCACATGTTGCAGAAAGAGACAACTTTCAAAAGAGTCCTCGATAAAGCAAGGTCTGTGGCGAAGCTCTTTCGCAAGTCCTCAGTTGCAACACAGAGGTTATCGGACCACTGTGGTGTTATTGTTGTAAATGACTGCCCCACACGCTGGTCAAGCACATTCAACATGGTCGCACGACTCCTCACAGTCAAAGATGCAGTCTGTCAAATCACAAATGACATGGGATGGGACAGTTTGCTTACTAGTGAGTGGCAAAAGCTTTCATCATTGCATGACTTACTGCTGCCTTTTGCGGAACACACTAAAACCCTCCAGAGTGACACTGCATCTATGTCCTAGTGGTTCCTGCCCTCTTTGATCTGCTGAGCCGCCTAACTGACTTTGCAGAGAACACTCGGTACAGAGACCTCTTGCCACTCTTGCAGAGAAAATGAGATCAAATCTGAACCAGCGTTTTGCTTGCCTCTCTGGGATTCAGCCGATGAAAAGTTCTCAGCACTTGCAGCAGCTGCCTGCTTTGTCAACCCAACTGTCTGTGAAATCCTTGTTAATGTTGATGTGGCTGATGGAAATATCCAGGAACTGCTGAAACAGGCAGAAGACTATGTGGTCAAATGCACTTTCCCACACACAAGACAGGAGGACCAGTCTGAAGATGATGCAGAAGAAGAGGTTATTGAGGAACCAGAAGCAGCGCCATCCTCAAAGCAGCCGGTGTTTAGGTTCCTCTCAAAATGCCGCACCACAAGGCCTAAACAGAAAACCTCCACAACCAGCATCAGGCAGCAGATCATCAAGTACAAGGAAGAACTTTCACATCCCATAACTGTGGACACAGGAACAGACTTCTGGCTGGATAAGAGTGACAGTTTTTATCACAGTTTAAAACCTTTCGCGTTAGACTTGTTGGCTATGCCAGCTTCTCAAGCTTTTGCAGAGAGGGTATTCAGCATCACAGGTGACCTCACAAGAGGACGGCGCAACAGAGGAAGAGTTACATTGGAGCGAAG